CAATCCTCATATGTGATTAAGCCAATCAACTTGAAAGGGTAGCTATGACAATAAATTTATAGAGTGCATTAGGGATAGTTTCCTAGAGGAATATGTCATTGAGCCAACCAGGGTGCAGGCTGTCTTTGATCTGGTAATGGGTAATGAGGCAGGTATAATAAATGACCTGCGAGTAAAAGATCTCCTAAGAATTAGTGATCATAACATGATAGAATTTAACATTCAATTCAAGAGAAAACTAGATCAGAAACAACTGTATTTTACTGAAGTAAAGAGAATTACAATAAAATGAGCATAGAGTTATCTAAAGTGAACTGGGTAGATAAATTTAGCAGGAATGACAGTAAGCAAGCAGTGGCAGATATTTGAGGAGGTACTTCATGACGCTCAGCAAAAGTACATCCAAGTAAGGAGGAAAGATTCGAAGAGACGGATAAACCAGCCATGGCTAATCAAGGAAGTTAAGGAGAGTATTCAGTTGATAGAAAAAGAATTAAGGCAGCCAAAGTCAGTGACAGCCGTGAAGACTGGGGTAAATTTGGAATCCAGCTAAGGAGGTCTCAAAAGATAATAAAGATAGGGAAAATAAACTATGAGGTGAACTAGCAAGGAAAATAAAGAATGACAATAAGAGCTTCCTTAAATATATAAGAAGGAAGAGAGAGGTCAAAGTGAACATTGGACTGTTTGAAAATGAATCTGGAGAGGTGGTTTTGAAAATTAAAGAAGTGACAGAGGAGTAAAACAGATATTTTGCATCAGTCTTTACTATGGAAGATACATTAAATGCCCTATTAATACTAAAGAATATGGGGGACGAATTAAGCACCATCACCATTACTGAAGAAGCAGTATTAGACAGACTAATGGGGCTAAAGGCAGATAAGTCCCTTGGCAATGATGCCTTGCATCCTCTAATGAGATAGCTACAGAGATAGTGGCTGTATTGGTTGTAATTTTCCAAAAATCATTGGGTTCTGGATAAGTGTCAGAGCATTGAAAACCTGCTAATGTGACAACCCTATTCTAAAAGAGATGGAGGCAATAAGTGGTTAACTTTAGACCGATTAGCCTAACATTTATCGTTGGAAAAGTATTGGAATCAATCATTAAGGAAGTAATAGCAGAAAATTTGTAAAATCATAATCTAATCATGCAGAGTCGGCATGATTTTGTGAAAGGGAAATCACATCTGACTAATATTTTAGTTTTTCGAGGAAGTCTCAACCAGGGTGATACAGGGGAAACTGAGATATGTTGTATTTGGACTTCCGGAAGGCACTTGACAAGGTTCCTGACAAAAGTTTAAGCCATAAGGTAAGAGCCCATGGTGTGCGAGGTAGTATATTGTCATAGAGAATTGGCTAATGGGCATGAAACAGTGGGTTGGGATAAGGTTGGTTGGTTACCTGTGACCAGTGGGTTTCCACAGGGATCAGTTCTGTGACCACAGCTGGTTACAATATATATTAATGACTTGAAGGAAGAAAATGAATGTAGCCAAATTTGCAGATGACATAAAAATCACTGGAAAGGCTGATTGTGAGAAGGATACAAACAGCTAACAGATGGATTAAGTAAGTGGGCACTAAGTTGGCAAATAGAGTATAATGTAGGAAAATGTGAAATTGTTCATTTTGGAAGGGAGAACAGAAGCACAGTGTTATTTAAATGCAGAAAATGAAAGTGCAACACAAAGGAACTTGGTGGTATTTGGGAATGAAGCACAGAAAGCTAGCACACAGGTGCAGCAAGTAATCAGGAAGATGGATGGAATTCTGCCCCTTATTTCATGGGGTTTGGAGTATAAGAGTAGGGAAGTCAAACTGTAACTGTAGAGGGGGTTAGTCAGACCACATTTGGAATGCTGTGAGCAATTTTGGACCCCTTATTTAAGGAAAGATATTGTTTAAATGGAAGAAGTTCAAGGAACATTCACTAGGATGATTCCTGGTATGGAGGATTGTCTTATGAGCAAACATTAAACAGTTTGGGACTCTACACACTGGAGGTTAGAAGATGGCAGATGATCTCATCGAAACATATATTGGATTCTTAAGGGGCTTGTCAGGCTAAATGCTGAGAGGAAGTTTCCCCTCGTGGGAGTGATTATAACCAGAGGGCATAGCCTCAGAGTAAAGGAGCACAAATTTAAGACTGAGATAAGGAGGAATTTCTTCTCTAACGGCTGTGAGTGTTTGGATCTCTGCCATAGAAAGCTGTAGGTGCAGAGTCCTGGTGTATATTTAAGGCTGAGGTAGATTGATTCTTGATCAGTAGGGGAATAAAAGGTTACAGGGAGAACACAGGAAAATGGATGTGGGGAATGTTGGTTCAGCCATGATTCTATTCAATAGTGGAGCATGCTCAGAGGCAAAATGGCTTACTCCTGTTCCTATTTCTTATGGCCTTTAAGTGACCAAAGCACCATGGTCTAGAGCACTATTCAACTGGGACAGAAAAGAGAAATGTAATAGTAATACAGGATAGCACAAGGGAAATAGAGACTGTTCCCTACAGCGAGTCCCAAAGGCTGAGTTGCCTATGGGGTGCAGTATAGCTCCAAGAGGGCAACACCAGTATTTCCAGGATAAGAATACAGGCTTTGCAGGCGGTGGTATGTCTCCTTTGATGTGAGTTTTGCCTCCAGCAAGATGTGTTACTGATGTGACAAAACATAACACAAGAAACTAAACATGAATATTGTGTTATTGAAGAATTCAACAGATACTTAAAGCACTACAACCAAGTACAAGTATTATTTTCACAGGCACATCAGTACCTGAACTAATATTGAGACAGCAAGATCAACATTATTTGAGGTTAGCGAGTCCATTTGTCAGGCTAATGATAGCAGGGAAGAAGCTGTTGTTGAACCTTTGGTGCGTGTGTTCAAGCTTCTGTATCTTCTGCCTCGTGGAAGGGGCTGTAGGAGAGCATTATTGGGGTGAGAAGTGTAAATGGAATCCATGGATGGGCGGTTGGCTTTTGTGACAGTCTGGGCTGTGCACACAACATTCTGTAGTTTCTTACAGTCCTAGGCAGAGCAGTTGCCGTACTGAGCCGTTATGCACCTGGATAGTATGCTTTCAATGGTGCATCTGTAAAAAGACCCTTATGGACATGCTGAATTTCCTAAGCAGCCTAAGGAAGAAGAGGCGTTGTTGTGCCTGCTTGACCTTCTATGTGGGAAGTCCAGGACAGGTTATTGGTTATCGTCATTCCTAGGAACTTGACACTCTTGACACAGACTTTATAGTTGTTATATCAGAGCTTAATTCTCTCATTGCAAATATTTAAAATTGTGTCTAACAAGGGAAATGTTATATCGGGCACTCTATTGAGAGCACATATGAAAGAGACTGACTGCTGTGGTGCTCATGAACTTACGTAAAATAAGGTTACTACGGTTAATCCAACAAAGAAATTGTATAATTTTTGATGGGTAATGAAAATACCTTCTCAAGATACCTCTCCCACAGAGCAATGAAAATGTAAGATGTGCAGTTCATCTATCGTTTAATAAAATTTTGAGTTTGGATTTCAAAGTGTTGGTATGCGGGACAAACACCGAGAAAGCTGCAGAAACTCATCAAGTCTTGCAATATCTGCAGAGAAAGGCAGAGTTAACATTTCAAGTCCAGTAATTACTGTTCTTCGGAATTGAAAGGTTGGAAAATGGGTTTTTAAAATACTTCTGACAGAGGCAGTGGAGGAACAAAAGGGCAGATGGGAGAGAGGCCCAGTGCAAAAGACCAAGGGTTGGTTAATAATGGTGAAAGAGAAAGAGATGAAAAATGTATATAAATTTAGAGTGAGATCTCTTCTAAACCCTGATTGCCCTTCTGTAGGACATCTGAAAGAATTCTCAGAATTTTGTTTCCTGAGTAAGCTGTATTGGCAAAGATCCCAGAGACATCTGCAATAATATTTGGTGACATCGATCTTTGTGCACTAGAATGTCAGATCAACAGCCGCCTGAACATTACACATCTTATCCTTTCCAATTTTGCCCTCAGAAACCAAGACTTATTGGCATAAAGTATTTTTCCCAAATATGCATATGTAGCAAGAATTCCTACTTGTTCTTTACGTGACACGTGTGGGTTTATTTCTGTGTATGGTTTGGTTTATTTTGTGAGATACAAACTTATATTTTCATTTTGCAATCTAAGAGTGTTAACTTGTTTTGCATTGTCATTGAGTAAGTTTTGTTTGTAATAAGTCAATAATTCTGTGTTTATTAAAGAAACCTGAATGGATCTTTTTATTTTATGTCTAATCGCATATTGGCCCAATCAGCAAGTGGGTAAAACAATTACATTTATTTTGTGACCTGTAGAGAATTGGAACTACAAAAGGACAGTGCAATGCACCTTTCTGACCATGAAAGGACATAAAGTGGGATTTAGCCCATTCCTTCAGCTGAACATGCAATTTCTCTGGGAAGTTAAGCAAGGATACACCACTGACAGTGTGTGCCTGCTCTTATTGACAGTTATAGTTTGTTGTAGAAAGAAAGAGTTGGTGACCATTAACACATCCGAGCAACAGGTAATTGAGGGGGATGATCAGTCTGACTGCTTGCATCTGTTCTGATGCTAGTTCCATGCTTAAGTGTCTATGAAGAGGGAGCACTCAGTGCCCACAGTTATGCTTAAGGCATTCTGTGACCAATGAGCTCTAATAGACCTTTGGAATTTGTCATCACCACCAGTTAAGATTCAGCCTGTATTTTCTGAGTTCTTATGGTTAGAAGGTTAAAAGCTGCTGCTGATAAAAGATGAATAATCCAATCAATTTCTGACCAAAGTTCCCTATTGTAATAGGAGTAATGCACCAAATTACGGAATCTTGTTCTTTGTGCAGTTGCTGATTAAATCTTATCATCTGTAAAATATAACTTAATGTGATGCATGATGTACAAGCTTAAAAAGTATACAGTAATGTTTAATCTGAGATCGGGGATGCCTTACTTAATGTAATATTTGTTTTTGCAGGAACTCATAACAACACTATACATAGGTTTTCTGGGTCTGATCTTCTCCTCCTATTTTGTATATCTGGCTGAGAAGGATGCAGTAGATGAAAAGGGAAAGACTGGGTTTGGCAGTTATGCTGATGCATTGTGGTGGGGTGTGGTGAGTTCTTTTGTATTTGATCCTATGCTGTCAATGACATTTGCACCTGAGAGTGAATTTGAAAAACTTGCTTTATTAAGTACTTTAGGATTAGTAATTTCTGTACACATTTAAAATCACCAAACTCCACAGGACACATTTTTGAATTGATAATTAACAAAATATTCAATTTCTACTTTGTAGTGCTGCCACTCAATTTGCTGCAGTGTTATGAAGCAGCAACGAACATCCTGGCAAACAGTGAAGAGTATGTTGATAATAGGATGCTTTCCTTGATTTCATGAAACTCTAGATTGGTTGTTGGGGTCAGCTGATGTCACTGCTTCTATTGCTTGTTGTGAAATTAAACCAAGGCACATGAGAAGGTTGTTCTGTTGATGTCATGGAGTTCCTAAATAGAGATGAGGAAGTGATCCTGGACACCTCACTGTGGCAGAATCTTTTTTTAAAAAGTTAAACACAGCTTTCATATTATACTGTTATAACTGGAATAAATTTTGATTAAAAAGCACTCCTGCAGACATGCTTCTTTTTCATCATTCGAGATGCAAACATAGCTTAAGAAATTCATCTTCTAACAAAATAGCAATCAAAATTATGAGATTTTATAGGTGTTTATATCAGATTGGGAAGTACTTTGACCTAAAACGTTTGCTGTGTAAGTAGTGATTTGTACTCCTGTTCCCTATCCATTCAACTGTATCCAGAAATCAACAAAATTATTAGACATAGTGACTATCTATAGATTTCTTCTAAAGTTATAATTTAAAACATTAAAATTTTTAATTTCACTGATCTTTTTATCATAGGTCACAGTTACAACAATTGGATATGGTGACAAAGTCCCACAGACGTGGATTGGAAAGACAATAGCATCTTGCTTCTCTGTTTTTGCTATATCTTTCTTTGCGCTTCCAGCAGTAAGTATATTTTTACCTTGGTGAAAATGTTGCTGTTCGCCTTTGAACATTCAAACAGATCAAACAGGTCAAAGGATCAAACAGATTATATCTTCTGCATGGGCTGGATACATATCAAAACTCCCCTGACTGGAAAATTCTAACCTCACAGTATAACCTGACATGATTAATCAAAGTTGGCGAGGACCAGGGAGCAGTTTGGAAGAGGTGGCTGACTAGAAAATATATTTTAAAGATCAAAGAAGTGATATCAAACCAACTTGAAGTTGGATGAAGTGCACTGGCTTTAATGCTGGTCAGTTTGGACAGCTCTTGTAGAGAAATGGAGATATATGGATCAAAATGAGACTGGTTGGAATAAGTACTAACTGAGATGATCAAATGACGGATCCGTTGGATTGTGTGATCCATGTACTACCAGAGACAAAGGAAAAGTATTAAAGCCAAGGAAGTTTGATTTGCAGTAATTACAAGAATCAGGATAGAAATTAAATTTATCCAGGTATTGATCAGAATGGTATGTCATATTTATGTGAAATGTTATGGTTAGTGTAATTTGTTTGGATAATTATATGCTTATGCTATGTGGTCTTGTGGAAATTCCGCAGGGTCAGGGTCCTGGATGGTGAGATGCCAGACAAGTAGGGTACCAGGGCACAAGTGTCATTAATGACCGAGAACATGACATCATTGTCTAAGCAGATATTTGGTCTAGCGGGCCTCTAAGTGTTGGAGACCTGGGGCATTTCTTCCTTCACTAGCTGCGGAGATGTGTCAGTGATGTGCTTGCCAGATTGTGTTCCTAAACATGATCTAGATAGAGAACGTTGCGAGATGAAACTTACTGAGCAAGTGGAAGGTGCAGGTGAAAGCTTTGCCAAAAATGGTACAGTGGCTTCCTGCTCAAAGGGAGCCGTGGAGTTGAGAGTTTTTGGGGCTGAGGTTCTTTGGTTGCTGCTAGTGACTAAATAAGAGCAGACATAGAAGTGGTTCTGGAAGAGGCCTAGAAGTTTGTGAAGGTTAAGGTTGGCTTAATTTTTGTGGTAATGGGAGAGCAGCATATACAATGAAGCTCACTGGGTTGGTTGCCCATTGAGGTCTCCCCTTTCGCACACGAATAGTCGTGCACTTCTCTGGCCAGTTGGAGAACTTCCTACGCATGTGGGATGTGGAGCCTTATGTCCACCACTTCCTACTATTCCTAGCCCAATTATGGGAAAATTTCTCCTGCAATGGGACAAAAGGAGGGACTGAGTAGCACCATAGCGCAAGGAGTGTTTTGGACTTGCAGCATGTGTTGTGGTGTGCAGCTGGGCCTTTAATTATGATGCCAGCAATGTTAACACTTGAAGTTTCCAGCAGCAGGAAATAACTCTCCAGCTGAGTGATTCCACGAGAATGGCACCATCCAGTCTGGATACAAAAATAATGTGGTGAATGTTAAGTTCGCCTTACATGTTAATGTCTAATGTGGAATTGACAAATCACACTGTAAGAAAGTTACAGAGTTGAAGCAGGCAGTAGGGCTAGAGTATATATTCTGAAGTGACTCACAAGTGCAGCACCTATCATTTTTTGAATAAAAATCCATCTGCTTGTTTTTATGGTTCAAGTGGACATAAAATACCTTGTGGAATAAGTCAAACAAAAAGCAGGCCATTCCTAATGTTAAAAAAAACACATTCTAATCTCCCCTTCAATTATTTCTATCATCACACCATATTTGTGCACTCATCAATTAAAAAAGTCTATTTGATCATATTCTTGAAGGCTCATATCAGATCACACCCTTGCTCTCCCAGCTTTGCTGAAAAAGTCCCAATTTTTCTAGTCTTTCTTCATAGTCTTGCTGGATGAGCACAACGGCTCACTTCCCTGTATGATCTGCTGTTCATGGTGAAAGTTGCTGCCACTGTCCATTTTAAGTGTAAAAACCTGTAGGACTGGTTTGGTCCGGTGCCTTTATATAGTGCCTTTTCCTTCTATGTTTCTTATTCTTTCATAGTTAAGTTGATATTGTACTGGAATAGATCTGATATTGGAGGTTGTTTGCATGGTTTACAAAAGAAGTTTAACAGCATAATCAAATAATTTTGCTTTCAAGTACAATGACATGCTTTCATGAAATGTTCAAATTTTAAGGGTATACTGGGATCTGGATTTGCTCTCAAAGTTCAACAGAAACAGCGTCAGAAGCATTTCAGTCGGCAGATACCTGCTGCTGCCTCCCTCATTCAGGTATGCATTGCAAATATGATACAAAAGGACTATTCAAAATATGAGCCATAAGGAAATTGAAATAGGACGTGATACTGTAGTGCAGTTGATAATGCATGTTGATTAGGTATCTGTTTCTTTTTCTCTGTATATTTGTCTTTAAATATGCTTCTCCCTCATGAAATGGTAGAAAAAATAAAATTCTAATGGTTATTTTTTTCCCATTTATGTATTGGGTACATTTTCAGCTGTTCACTAAAGACTGCAGAAGTGCATACCTTGAAACTTTTGGGGATTATTTAGCAAATAAAGCATTTTAAATGTGTGACTAAACGTCTTGTATTCTTAAATTTGGCATTTTTTTAACTTTCATATCCTGTAATGTCAGAGTAATGATACTAACAGCTCTTTGCATACATTTTGAATCAAAATACTACGTTAAGCCAATTTTGCTAAAAACAACAGAAAACCTTTTTCTTAGAATGATTGAAAAGTAAGTTTCTGTTCTATTTCTTTCCCAGTTCTTTCAATGGGAATATCTACCTGTACACTATCATGAGGAATACCACAAAATACTGCTCTTACAGCCATATCTAAATTAAAGCCAATAGTGTCTGGTATTGGATTTTCAAGCCTATGCATTCCAACCCTCACATCCTAGAATTTTCAATTTCATTTAGTTTTCTTAATTCTTGGTGTCCCTTGTTTGAATTTGCAGGATCTAGAGGTTTTGAACTTAGACATTGGTTTTAGCATTCGTAGCTGCACCTTGCATTAATTGTAAACGGGTTAGTATCCCGGCAACTTGCGGTAAGCAAATTTACACAGATTTTAAACTTTAACGATTTAATTGTTTTTTTTCTCCATTCATCTGTTAGAACTTAGGTGAAAGGTCATAAAGTATGAAAAATCACTGTTTGCATTGTTTTTCTTTGTATCCCTGGACCTATCCTAGGCCCCCTCCAATTTTCCGTCTGCTTGCTGCCCGTCGGTGAAATCATCTGAAAGCACAGTTTTTGGTTTTCACGTATATGTCGATGACACCCAGTACCACCTTACTCCATCTTGCCTTTCGCTGTTGGAAAATTCAGATTCTTTATCCAACATTCAGTGTTGGAAGTGCAGAAATCCCTTCTAACTAAATTTTGAGAAAGCTGAAGCTATTATTTACAGTCCTACTTTCAAATACTGTTCCAAAATTACTAATACCACTGCCTGGCAATTATTTGAGCCTAAGCTAGAGACTTTGTTTGCTCCTCATGCTCCTCCACCTCATTTTTGCCAGCTCCACAACCCTGCCACATACTGTACTCATCTCATCCTGGCTTCTTGTTCATTCCCAATTAAGTTGCCTGAATTTTAAGCTCTTGAATTCCCTTTTTACACCTCGCTGCCTCGCTACATTTGATTTGATTTGATTTATTATTGTCACATATACCGATATATAGTGAAAAGTGTTGTTTTGCATCTTATCCAGACAAACCATACCTTAACTACATTAGGGTAATAGAACACAATGCAGATTATAGCGTTACAGCTACAGAGAAGGTGCAAAAAAAGATCAACTCTAATATATAAGAGATACATTCATAAGTCTGATAACAGCGAGGAAGAAGCTGTTCTTGAATCTGTCGGTACGTATTTGCAAACTTTTGTGTCTTCTGCCTGACGCAAGAGGGTGGAAGAGAGTATAACTGGGGTGGGATGGATCTTTGATTACTTTGGCTGCTTTCCTGAGACAGCAGGAAGCATAGATGGAGCCAATGGAAGCAAGGCTAGTTTTCATGATGCACTGGGCTACATTCAGAATTCTGTAATTTCTTGTGGTCTTGGGCAGAACAGTTGCCATACCAAGCTCTGCTGCATCCGGGCAGGATGCTATCTGTGGTGCATCTATAAAAATTGGTAGAAGTTATTGTAGACGCGCCAAATTTCCTTAGCCTTCTGAGGAAGTAAAGGTTGGTGTGCTTTCTTGGCGGTAATGTCGACGTGGATAGACGAAGACGGATTGTTGGTGAGATTTACACTGAAGAACTAGAAGCCCTTAATCATCACCTCAGCACCATTGATACAGACAGGGGCATGTCCTTCACTCCACTTCCTGAAGTCGAAGACCAGCTCCTTCATTTTGCTGATATAGAGGAGAGATTGGTGTCTTTACACCATTCTATGAAGCTCTCTAACTTATTCCTCTATAATATCATTGTTTGAGATCCGATCTTCTATGGTGGTGTCATTAGTGAATTTATAAATGGAATTGGAGCTGAATTTGACCATCCATTCGGGAGTGTGGTTCTGCAGTAGAGCAGAATGGGGCAAGATCTAGGTGAGTGATAGTAGTAGGTGACTCGATGGTCAGGGGCACAGACAGGAGTTTGTATGGCCGTGAACGAGACTGTAGGATGATGTGTTGCCTTTCTGGTGCCAGGGTACCTGGATGTCTCTGAGCAGGTACGGGACACCTTGAAAACAGACAGAAGTCATTGTCCACATTGGCACAAATGACATAGGTAGGAAGAAGTCCTGCAAGGATAATTCAGGGAGTTGGGTAGGGAGTTAAAAAGCAAGACTACCAGGGTAGTAATCTCCGGGGTACGACTCGTGCCACAGGCTTGTGACGCTAGGAACCGACAGAGAGTACAGCTGAACATGTGGCTACAGAGCTGCTGTAGGAGGGAGGGCTTTAGACATATGCATCATTGAGATGTCTTCTGAGGAAGGTGGGGCCTGCACAAGAAGGATGGGTTGCACCTGAACTGGAGGGGTGCAATATCCTGGGTGGAAGGTTTGCTAGAGCTCTTCAAGAGGGTTTAAACTAGTGTGGCAGGGGCTTCGGAACCAGAGCAACAAGCCAGTAAGTGCAGGAACTGGGGACAAAAGAGAGAATGAGATATGCATTGCGCAGAGTAAGAGCAGACGGAGTGAAGTCACGGCGCTCAGAGGGACTGGAGTCTGGAGTGCATTTACTTCGATGCAAGAAGTATAACAGGTAAGGCGGCCGAACTAAGAGCATTGATTACTTAATGGAATTATGATGTAATTGCCATGACAGTGACATGGTTAAAGGAGGGACAGGACTGGCAGCTTGACATTCCTAGATATCACTGTTTTAGATGGGACAGAAAGGGAAAACAAAAGGGGTGGGGGAGTTGCATTGCAGATTAGGGATCACATCACAGCTATGTTGAGGGTGGACACATCAGAGGGATCTTGCAGTGAGGCATTATGGGTGGATTTTGGGAATAAGAAAGGTGAAATCACAATGTTGGGAGATCACAGAAGACAGAGGAGCAGATATGTAGTCAGATGCTGGAAAGGTGTGAAAAAAGCAGGGCAGTTGTGGTGGGTGACTTCAACTTTCCTCTTATTGACTGGGACTCCCTTTGATCCAGGGGCTTGGATGGAGAGTAATTTGTTAGATGTGTCCAGGAGGGCTTTCTGAGACATTATGTTGACAATCCAACTAGTGTGGAGGCCATACTAGACTTGGTTTTAGGGAATGAGCCAGGACAGATGATCGATGTTTCAGTAGGAGAGCATTTTGGGCTTGGTGACCATAACTCCATAAGATTTCAAGTAGTCATGGACAGGGACGAGAGTGGCCCGTGGGAGAGAGTGTTTAATTGAGCGAGGGCCAATTACATCCAAATTAGACAAGAACTGGGGAATGTGGATGGGGAGCAGTTATTTGAGGGCAAACCTACATCTGGCATGTGGGAGGCTTTTAAAGACCTGTTGATTAAAATGCAGGATGTGCATGTCCCTGCAAAACTGAAGGACAGGACTAAATAAAAACCAAAAGAACTGCAGATGCTGTAAATCAGGAACAAAAACAAAGTTCCTGGAAAAGCTCAGCAGGCCTGGCAGCATCTGTGAAGGAACCCCCCTACCTCCTGTTGGGTATTCACCATCCCTTCTAACCTTCCGCTCTCCGATGCTGAACGTTCTGTACTCAGCAAAGGCCTCAACTTTATTCCTCTGCGTCCGCACCTTAACAAATTTCGGGCACGACATGACGCCGAACTCTTCTTCCACCGTCTTTGCCTCCTTGCTCAGTTCTTTTGACAAGAGTCCTCTCCCTGTCCCACAGACCCCTTTGCCCAGTTCCAACACTCTCCCTCCACCTGGACCCCTCCCTCCGGCCTTTTACCTGCACTCGATCTTTTCATTGAGAACTGTCGACGTTACATTAGTCGCCTCAATTTTGCTGCCCCTCTCACCAAATCCAACCTATCTCCCTCCGAACTGACTGCATTCTGTGCACTCGGATCCAACCCTGACTTTGTTATTAAGCCTACCGATAAGGGTGGTGCTGTTGTAGTCTGGCGTACTGACCTCTAACTTGCAGGGGCTGAGCGCCAACTCTCAGATACCTCCTCCTACCTTCCCCTGAACTATGACCCCGCCATGGCACATCAGGCCATTGTATCCACTACGGTTACTGATCTCATCTCATCCGGTGATCTCCCCCCAACTCCACTTCCAAGCTAATAGTTCCCCAACCCCGCACAGCTCGTTTCTACCTCCTGCCAAAAATCCACAAACAGGACTGTCTGGGCAGACCCATTGTTTCAGCCTGCTCTCGCCCCACAGAACTCATCTCTTCCTACTTTGACTCAGTCTTCTCCCCCCGGTCCAATCTCTACCCACGTACATCCATGATTCATCTGATGCCTTACGCCAGTTTCAAAACATCCAGTTTGCCAGTTCCAGCCACCTCCTCTTTATCATGGATGTGCAATCCCTTTACACATCCATTCCCCACCAGGACAGTCTTAGGGCTCTCCAATTCTTCCTGGAGCAAAGACCTGAACAATGTCCACCCACCACCACCCTCCTCCACTTGGCTGAGCTTGTCATCACTCTCAACAACTTCTCTTTCAACTCCTCTCATTTTCTTTGGGTAAGAGGGGTTGCCATGGGTACCCGCATGGGCCCTAGTTATGCCTGTCTCTTAATGGGGTATGTGGAACATTCCTTGTTCCAGTCCCATTCTGGCCCCCACCCATAACTCTTTCTCC